GAGAGAATCTTCAAGCAGACTCCCGGCTGAGTGTGGAGCCCTTAGGCAGGGTTTGATTTCACAACCCATGAGATCATGACCTGAGCAGAAACCAAGAGTCAGATGCTCAACTGACTGAGCCACCCAACTACCTCTCCAACTTCCACTTCTAACCCATCTTTCTTATCTTCTCTTCTGCCATGTCTCTCTGACTTCTGCATTCTTCTGCTTTAAGGGGTCATATGATTACATTGGGTCCACCAGTAATTCAGAATATTCTCCATATTTTAAGGTCAGATGGTTAGTAACCTTAAATCCTTCTATAAAGTCCTTTCACAGCAGTATCTAAATTAGTGTTTGACTGAATAACAAGGGGCGTGAAGCTTGGGGAGACATTTTGGAATTCTGCCTGCCACACTGGCTTCAATAATAAAGTAAGAAAAATGACTTGTGAATTCATCTAGTCTTAGTTCCTGTCATGTAGGAAATTGGTCTATTCCAAATATCCATTCCTAGGGGTCAATTCTGATTATGTCCTTTTTGATAGGAGATCACCCATTTTTTATAGATTTTTCAAATTTGTTGGAATAAGTTTGCATGTAATGTTTCTTCTGATTCTTTTCCTTTCTTCTATATCTATGGTTGTTTCTTTTCTCATTCATAATCTTATATTCCTTTTTTGCTCCTTTCCCTTAAATCAGGCTTGAGAAGGGCTTATGCATTTTAGTGTATTTTAAAAACAAACACACAAAATAACTATTGCTTTTATTTATCCTTTTATACAATTTTTATTTCTACTTAAGTATTTTTAGTGTTTCTCTGTATTAATTTCCTATTCATAATTTCTTGTGGTTTATTTTATGCTTTTTCTATTTTCCTGAGATGAGAACCTTGGGATCCTTTTCACTAAATCTTTTTCAGGAAAAAAGAGAAGGAGAAGGAGGAGGAGGAGGAAAAGGAGGGGAGAAAAATGAAAACTTGACATTTTCTTTTGAACTAGCTTTTGCTGTTGTGCAAAATGTTTTGGAATGAAATGGTTTCCTTTTCATTTTCTACCTTTCAATTTGAGTTTTGATTTCTTCTTCATCCCTTCTTTATTTTCAAATAGTAAATAAATTTGGATTTTGCTTTATGTTTATTCTTAACTTTATTGGATTATTTTTTACAAGTCTCTACATTTATTTTAAAAAAAGAATATTGGGTGTTTCTGCGTAGCCCACAATAAATCAATTTTCTATGAACAAACCCCCAAATCTATTTTCCTCTGTTTCAAAGAAACAGAGGTCTATATCCATTACATCAACTTTATTAATTGCATTATATAATTACTCTGCATCCATACTTTTTTGTTTTGTTTTATCTGTTTAATTCTGAAAGAGATGAACTGAGGCCTTCCACTATAGTTTTATTTTTATTACATTCTCCTGGGATTTCCAGTAATGTTTACTTTATATAATATAAGCCACTTTCTTCTTTGGCATGTACATAGAGCACCAAAGATGCTGTTTTCATATATTGTGCTTTTATTATTACATAAGGTATAAGGTCTTATTTATTGTTTTTAACCCTAAATTTTAGTTTATCTGATATTAATAATGCCACTCCCACTGCTTTTTATTTCATTGGTCTGATATCTCTTTCCCCACTCCTTTATTTTCAAGATTTCTTTATTGCTTTAACTATATTTCTTATAAACAGTATATAGTTAAGTGTTATTTTTTAAACTCAGTCTGAAAGTCTTGTTTTTTAATGGGAAAATTCAACCTATATAAACATAATGATACTTGATTTCAATATTTTTATGATTTATTTTATATTTGTTTTTTCATTTTCCTCGTTTTTCATATTAATCCCATTTCCCCTTTTATTTGGGGGTCTTATGATATATTCTATTCAATTAATCATTAACTCTTCTATCAAGATTATGCTCGAAGGTAATAACAAATCCCACCAGTATCTTAAAGAAAATAATATAGTGAGTGTGCAAGTGTGTGTGTATAGTGTGCTGTGCTTGAATCTCCTTAAGTGTCTTATTGTTTTTTTTATCAAATCACTCCTTGTCTCCTCTAGCAGCTCTGTGTGTTTATTTTATAGCTGGTTACTGAAAGAGTTGGATTTGGCAGGGTTTTAGCAAACAGGAAACAACTTTATTTTTTCTAATTATTTTTCTCACTGCTAATCCTATAGAATTACTGTGTTTACTTCTTCCTCCCCACCCCTGAAGGAGATCTCTGGGGCAATTTTCATAATTTTGTCCTTTTCTCTCTTACAGTCCTGCCTGGCTGGCCACTGGCTGCTGCAGGACCCCTTTAGATGGGTTGCTATTTTCTTAGTTGGCTCAGGGAAGCGCAGGTGTTTGCAGTATTTAGTGACTACAGTACCATGAAGGTAAAATCTTGCCCACTATGATGGAGTGGTGCTATAGAAGCAAGCAGACCACAGTCGCTGGTGAGGCTTCCGGGGGAAAATTCACGGGTCTCTGACTTCCCAGTTTTCTCACAGGCTTAGTGGTTCCTTCCTGGCCTCTTGGGGCCAATGAAACCAGAAACACATAGACCAAAGATAATCTTCCCCTCAGGTAATCCACAGCTCCCAACAGCCAGCTGGTCTTGGGACACAGCACAACCTCCATCACTGCCTTGTGACTCGGAGTCCGGTCTCCAGGGCCATACTCAGATCTCAGCACCAGAAGAGAAACCATGTCTATGTTTGCACCCCACTGCCTGACGATCTCAGCAGCTGTTTGGCTTAGAAGATGACAGATGGAAGCTGAGAGTAGAGGAGAAAGGTGCTGAGCGTAGGTCACTACCTTCCCAGAACCCACTGCTCCCAGCTGTCCAGCTGTTTTAAAGGAGAATTCTCAGCCAAATGGAATTTTTAAGTTGACTTAGTGCCTTCCTAAAAGATAAAGCTCACAAGTTCCAGCAGAAACTTCCAAAAACAACGAATACAAAAATCCTTAGTTCTAATTTGCATCTAGTTTGGGCTAAAGTTCAAATACTGTAGTTAGGTCCAGCATTTAATTTAGAAAAGATTGGAGTAAGAGACTTTGGGAGGGCATCTTTTAAGATGTTATGTTAAGAGCAGGGGAAAGGGTGGAAATAGGAAGGGAATTTTTAATGAATGTTTACTACACTTAAGTATTCAGGACTCCACATTATTTTTTTAACACTGAAAATAATAATACTGTAATAAGGTATTGTTGGGGTTGAGGCTCAGACAGTTTACATTCTTTCCCCATATTTATTCATGTATGTCCATATCCAAGGTCCACATGTCATTATCTTACACTGAGTATCAGGGAAAAATTACCGTCATTGTTTATGATATTATTAGGTACGTTTTCTATTTCTTGTTATTTTTATTGTTGGTGATTAAAAAGAGTTTGCGTTTAATCTTCTGAGCCAGCAGGGTAGTTAGGGAAACTGTTTTGCTTTGCAGTGAGCCAGGGAAGAGGGAAAAGGGGGATGGGGTGGGAGTGGGGGTGAAGAGACTGGATCACAGCAAGTCAAGAGAAGGAGAGGATCCATTCCTATTTGCTAGAAAAGAGAAAGATGACTTCATAACTTTGAGCTGCTGCTGCATCTCCTTCAGTAACCAGAAGAAAGGTACAGAGCCAGGAAATGTTGTATGGTCCTCCTCCACCTCCTCCATACCTGAGCCCATCATCTTATCTTAAAGCCTTTTACTCTTGCTCTTCCCTCATTTAGAGTTTCCAGTTGCACCCCTCATCCCTAACTCTCCCCCCACCCCCATGTTCTCCCCTTTTCATTCTGTTTTAGAGCCAAAACCTGACTCTCCTTGGGATGAGGTGCCCAAGAGGAGCCTTGGCACATGGGAAAGAAAACCTCTAGTCTGAAGTGGAAACAGGAACCTGAACAAATTTATGTCCTCACCTTTGAAAGTTGCCAAAGGCCCCCAAAGCCTTCCCCTAACGGAAATGCTTCTAACTAAACCTACTTCTCCTCACATACTAACAGTTCAGATTTTTAAAAAATCTTTAAACAAATGGATTAGGGGCACCTGGGTGGCTCAGTCGTCAAGTGTCTGCCTTAAGGCTCAGGTCATGGTCCCAGGGTCCTGGGATTGAGCCCTGTCATCGGGCTCCCTGCTCAGTGGGAAGCCTGCTTCTCCCTCTTCCACTCCCCCTGCTTGTGTTCTCTCTTTTGCTGTGTCTCTCTCTGTCAAATAAATAAATAAAATCTTTTTAAAAAATAAATAAACAAATGGATTAAAAATGAACTTCTGAAATCCAACTTGTTTCTAATTTGAGTTCTGCCTTTATACTGCTTGGGTTAATGATAAACAGTAAAATAGCAATATAATAATATATGTAATGTTCAGTAATCTATAGGACTTGCTATCAAATTTTTTTAGCTTATTAAGGATAAGTTATTCTTTTAAATTACTTAACAGTTCTGAAAAAAGTCAAAGTTATACTTGGAAAAGGCATTCTATAGCAATGAAGTTCCAGTGTCTACTAACAAAAAGCTATTTTAAATTTTACAGTCTTTTTAATTGCATGAATTGCTAATGTAATACTATTTTCCAATGATTATCCAAAATGCTGATATACGATTAATTCCACATGCATCAAGTTAATGGTACATTTGTCTTATTTGATACTCAATTACTAAGCAAGGTTATTGATGTTATTTGGCTTCCAACAGCAAATTACCAGAAACAGTCTGTGTCATTCTTGGTCCCCAATCAGACTTAACTGTGGAAATGCTGATGATTGAGGAATCTAATTGAGATCATAAAAATTCATGAACTAGTTCCTCTTGTTGATAATTATTTCCTAATTTTGTCCTTTTATTTACTAAAAGTGTTGGCTTTTCTTGAACAGATGACTGTTGACTTGTAATTCCAATGTCAATGCTTTGCTTTCTTATACCATCCATTTGAACATTATTTTGGTAAGAATTTCTTCTATGATCTTGGAACTTCATTATTTGTTTTTTGTTACTTAAATATTGCTGTATAAATAATATTTTTTGAGGTGTCTAAATTTCATTTGACTAGTTTAACAAATCATCCATTGGTGTTACATTATTTAATTTATGGACTTTGAGTATATTTTTTAAAGGCTTTGAGCAATGTTTGACTGGTAAGGCACTGAATTTGCTCCTTGGTTTTACTGTAGAAAACATTCTTTCAAAGTTGCCATGTCTAGCACTCATTTCTTGAATAACACTTTTATCAAAGGAGCCAACAAATTTTTTTGTTAGGCTGGAAAAAGTCTGTGAGAAATTGTACAGTTTACTCCAGGATAAGTTTTCAAGTGTCTGCTTATTAGCTTTCTTTCTTAGTTTACCCTCTACAACTCTATGGCCCACTTCAAAAGATATTGCTTGTATATCTCTTTTCCATGTTGTAGGCATAATTCTTTTAGGTTTGGAAGGGATAATAAATTGATCACTAATTAAAGATTTGAAGATTTCACAATTTCTTTCTAAAACAAAATCTGCTCTTTTATATGGGTAAATGTTTTCCTTTTCTATAGGATGGAAAGGAAGCTTATTTTTTGTCAAAAGTAACATTTGTACATATCCAGTCTCATGGAAAATTATGGGATTTGTGTCATTTTGTTCCTGTGGATTAAAGAAAAGAGTACTTAGTCATCAGTCTAGTGAGAAAAGAAGGCTATATATATTTTTCAACATGAAAATAAAATGGCAAAATATTCTAAAAATGACTACAGAGACGGTTTTAATATGAACAATAATGGTATTCAAACACACAAAAAATGTACTTGTATGTGACACACTTCCTTCTCTTAATATTCTGCTGAGATATTAGGGGTAAAATCTGAACTTTTGGCCTACTAGAATCCTTTTTGAATAAAGTGAGATATGACAAAATAAATATATTTCTTAGATGTGTGCGATGTTGTCACTGGAAAATAGGATAGTTGGTGGCATTTCTTAGGTTCCCACGTTCAGAAATAAGAAGCATACCAAAAAAATGAATTGAGCCAAAGATCTTAAGAGACATAACTAATTATAAGCCAAAATTACAAAGTCTGGATATCCCAATAAATAATTCCAAGAATATAAAAGTATCTTTACAATATTATATTTATTCTTGTACTCCAACCCTTACTTAGCACATAAAAAGCACTCAATATGTATTTGCAGAATAAAATAACCAAAGTAATAGATTGACTTTAAAAATAGACTATTTTTGTCACAGTACTAGCAAAATTTGTATGTAGGAGCTACTCACTAAACTCTTTTCCATATTTCCATTATAGGGCAAAAAGATTAACTTTAAAGAAACTGGTCAACTATGCATATTACCAGTATTTACTTTGCAAACTTTAAGTCAATGATTGCTACCTTTCCTTTAGAAATATAATTAATGAAGTAAGAAACCAAGGATCATCTAATTGTACATCAGCATACTTAGTGACAAAGGTATATTATTGCCTATAATTACTAAAAGATGATGACAAATCTAGTTTTGCAATCCACTGGGATGTCAATGCTACCTATTTAGCCACAGTAGTGGAGATTTGTCATATTTTTGGTCTGTCCAACACCTCTGGGAATTTTCCACCTTACAAATCTACGTACTCTTAAACAGAGACAGAAACTAGCTTTATTAGCCTCCCTTGAGGTTAGGGCATGTGACCTAAGCTCTGCCAATCAGATACACCTGAGATAGTTTTCAGTTCAGAGAAGGCAAGCACTGGCAGAAGTTGGGCATTGTGAAAACCACTCTAGTGAGAATGGCAGCAGATACATCTGCTTTGAAGGGCAGCAGTGTCAAAGATCTTAAAAAGAGTATCTCCTGCCCAGAATCAAAGTCATTAACTCCATAACAAAAGCATGGGTCCCGGTGGAGCAGTCTGGGGTTGTAACTGGGTGACTCCCGACTGTATAGCTTTCTTTTTGTTTTTTTCTTGACTGTATAGCTTTCAAGCCAGATTGTCTCTCCAGCCTTCCGAGAGACTCTGTGAGCTACCGAATAGCCTTTAATGCATGTATTTTCTGCTTCAAATAGCTAAAATAGACAGAAAAGTGAAACATCATGCAGTCCCCTTTTGAAAATACCATTTTTGCTTTATATTTCTTTTATAATCAAGAAAATTTGATAAAGCCTTCTTCATAAAGAAAAACACAAAACTTTCAGTTGATGCAAAGGAATCCCCACTTTTGGGGTGGCAGTTCTAAAAAGAGCATTAAGAATCTAAGTGTTGTCACTTTGTAATGCGAAACTGAAAAGTAAAAAGGATTTATCAAAGATTCCAGTCACTAGAATATAAGATTCCCACAAGTAGCAATTATACACATATTTACTGAACAATAGTAGATATTATTACCACGTGAGACGTTATTGCCTTTGGTGGACTAATGTTGATTATCTTGGCATTTGGCTTTTTCAATTCATCCTCAAAGCACAAGGGAAGCAAGCTTTTCTTTCTTACGGAGCAATATTCACTTAATTGATCATTTTTTATGGTTTTGTTTTCTTCCGTGCTAAATTCATCCATCTGTGGGGGAGATTTTCTTCTGAAAATGAGCACAAGTTCAGCATAAATAATGATAGGGTTGATTTCAGTTTGTCAGTTCTGGTCTGTCTCCCCGATCCCTCAAAGTCACTGCCAGCTTTTCCCCCAAATCCTCAGCCATACACTTTCCACACGACAAGACCATTCCTTCCTGCCTTGTGTGTGGGGGAAATGGCAAAAGCAGGGGTGGAAGCAATACAATAATATGTATGCCTCTTTGACTTTTGAGTGTGGACGAGATATATTATGTAGCGTAAGGACAACCACCAAAGGTAGAGAGGTATTCGCCATATCTTTTGTTGAGATTCTGGGGGAAAAAGTGCTTTGTAAGGCAGCTTCCTGACAACATAGGGTGGCCCCAGCTTTGTTAACAATGGTATGGTATAGTTAAAGGCCGAAAGAGGATATAGTTTTCATTCCAGATTTCCTTTGGTTCACATAGGACATGGACACTGAGTCTAGGCTTACCAAGGTGGTTGCCATTTCAGGGGTGAGGTAGCCCATATCAAAGGCCTGGCATGAGTGAGGTATGGGTAGTCTAAGGACAGATGAAGGTCATGACGGAGGCTCAGAGGGTTCTACCACACTAATGAGAGCTGAGAGTGGACCCAATCCAAGGTCAGAGAGAATAGATCTTATATTCATGAACCACAGATGTCAGCAGCCACAGAACACCTAGAAATGAAACCAGCAGTAAAAGGGCATTGACCAAGATACTTACTCAAGTACCTTTTCCTCAATGTCAAAAAGTCCAGTGAGCATCTCATCACATACTCAGATACCGTCTTAGAAACAGGACTGAGATAAATTTAGAGAGGCTGTACATTATTGCTCCAAAGTGTAAAACACGCTGGGTTAACACGATTTTACTCAATCTGAGTATCTAATGGGAAAGATCAGAGCTTTATACAAAACCACAAAGCTACTTTTCTTACATCCATATTGTAGTGTATTTAAACTTGTCTCTACTAGAAAAACACAATTGTATTCTCTCTATTCATTTTTCCATGTCCTTCTTTCCATTTGCCTATGAACTTGAAGCAGATAGAACATGAGTTCAAGGTATGAAGGTGCTGCTGACGAGTAGAGCACTCTTAGACCAGTCGTTGGATTGTAGTACAGTCCTAAATGGTAATAATGTGCCCGAATAAATCCATTCTGGTCTACTAAAAAATAAAAGGCAGAACTCTTCCTATTAGAAACATCATTGAACACAATAAAATATGAAAACATTAAAATAAATTACCTTTCATTGATACAGTCTTCTAAGTGACCAGACAAATGTAATGATTCCTCAGGGTTTTTTACAGTTTGAGCTGAAATTATAAACAATTTTCATAAAAGTGACACATATATAATGGCATTTAGAAAATACCTTGTATAAAATATTTTACAATGTAAAATAACAATGAAAAGCACCTGGTATAGTGCTTGATCTGTAGTAACTACTCAGTTAGAATTTTTATTTTTTTAAAAGTAAGAACTTAAGTGAACAAGACAGAACTGGAAAAGATTGAGGTCAAGGATCTAATGTTTGGCTAAGACAAATCAAACATAGAACTGGTCTTGGACATTTTTGTGGAAGAAAGACATTCCCAAATTTTCAAATCTTTCCAACATGTAGTCATTATTAGCCAGCAGGAAGCTTCAGATGGTTAAACACTGTTGGTAAAGAGGGAGGTTAGTTAGCAGAGGTCAAACAGATCTTGCCATCTGGCATGAAGGAGGTGTCCAGGGTTGAACTCTTCCAAATATGCTTAGCGGACACTCCAGCATTTCCCTACTTTCTTAGAAGTGTTCCCAGACACATATGCTATTAGCAGTAAATTCAACTTTTCTTTTGTCCTGAAGTAGTTTGTATTCTAGTGCAGTGCTTCCCAACATTTTCCACATCATGGTGAACATTTTATTTTTTATTTTTACTTAAAGATTTTATTTATTTGATAGAGTGTGTACAGAGGTGGGGGGCAGAGGGAGAGGGATAAAGAGGGAGAAGCAGACTCCCCACTGAGCAGGGAGCCTGACTTGACTCCAGGCTCAATCCCAGGACCTTGAGATCATGACCTGAGCTGAAGGCAGATGCTTAACCGACTGAGCCACCCAGATGCCCCAATGGCAAACATTTTAATATTTCTTTTACAGTACACTGGGATAAACACTTAAGTACACTTTGTAGCCAGACTGACATAAGGCCAACCCAGCAGTCTTGAAGGCTGAAGGATCAATATTTCAGCATAACAGTTTACCACAAAAGCTCTATTCCAGCAAAAGGAAACAGTCAATAAACAAGTAAATAAACCGACTAATAAATACACAAAATAATTTCAACCACTTGTAAGTATTATGAAAACAAATAAACATGGCACCTCACCTATGGTGGCTATAGAGGCTTCTCTCAGGAGGGGATATTTGAATTGAAGTCTGAGAAAGAAAGGCAACCAGGTGAAGCTTTGGGCAAACAGACTACTAGGCAAAGGAAATAGCAAGTGTTAAGTTCTCACTGTGAAATCAGGGGGGAATGGTGAAGGAACTGAAAGGCCAATATTGCTGGAGTGTAGTGAATGAAGGGGAGAGTGGAGAAAGCTGGGAGAGACAGGTAGCAGGGGCCATATCATATAGAGGCACATAGGACATACAGAAAACTTAAGACATTATTCTGGTTATAACAGAGATCATTTAGAGGGTTTTAAGCAGAATAAGAAAGAAGTTTGATTTATGCTTTAGGAACATCACTCTAACTGCTCTGAGATGGACAGTCTGTGGAGGTATGGAGGAATGTGGAGGGCGCTAGCAGCAATGGAGAGACCAATTAGAAGGCTATTGCTGTGGTCTAGATGAGACATGGATTAGACAAGGATTGTAGCAGAGGGAGTGCTGGGTAATGGCTGGCTTCACGTTATATTTTGGAGGCTAATCCAACTATCCTGATTCATGGATGGATATGGGAAATATAGAAATCAAGAATGATTTCTAGGTTTTAGCCTCAGCGATTGGGTAGCCTCAGCGAAGCTATTTACAGAAATGAGATAGGCAAGTGGAAGAACCAGGTCCACTGCTTGAAACAAGGGGCTGGGTTGAGGTTCCCTGGTTTGTGAAAAATTACTCCTTCCCAGGGCCAGCTGGGTAATCAGGAACTAAGTTAAACCACTTCAGGACATGATGACTGGATCTGCCTTATCTGCAGTATTTCCCTAGCAGGGGAGGAAACATTCACAACTCTAAAATCTGGTTCATCCTGAGGGCCATGAGGTCTGAGTGGCAGCAACTTCAAAACTTCTGGAAAGGAAGGAGTAAGGTGAAGTGAGTAAATGGCAAGTGAAGAGAGAAACTTCTAAAATTTTAAAACATATGAAAAATATAAAGCTAAGAAAGACAGCCAACAAAGTTAACAAGCAGAAGATAAATTCAGTAATAAAATTAAATAGAAGAATCCAAAAACAACTTTAAAATTCTAAGGTATATATTAGCATCATGTCATAGTTTGACAGTGTCATTGTTGACATCTTAGACTTGACAAACATGGTATGTTTAGGAACTTCAAAAACATAAATGAAAAAAATTCATATAAAAAAACAGATATTGTGAGATGAAAACAGGCTGAAGTAAGAACAAAAAAGTCAATATAAAAAAACCTGGAAATCTTGAAAATAAATTCTATATCTCTAGATTACATAGCCAAAGCGAGAATTAGTGAGCTGGAAGAAAACGCCAAGGAATTCACTAGGAATGCACAGAGAGAAGAGCAGAATTTGATAAAGTATGTTATGTATTTGATTGTCATTGACTTTAAAACTAACCTTATTTTGTATTTTAAATGAAACATTAATATTTATTGCATTTATACAAACTCTTTTCTCAGATTGTTTTAGATTATTATTAAATTATTTTCTTCAGATTATTTTAGATATAAATTATTTTTTAAAATTTTATTTAGAGAAAGAGAACACACAAGAGTGCAAGAGGGGGGAGGCGCAGAGGGAGAGAGAGAGAACCTCAAGCAGAGTCTGTGCTGAGTTCAGAGCCCTACACAAGGCTGGATCCTATGACTCTGAGATCATGATCTGAGCCAAAACCAAGAGTCAGACACCTAACCGACTGAGCCACCCAGGAGCCCCTAAATTATTTTGTTTTTGGTGTTTTAGACTTTTGCAGTGTTAGTCTTTTGCTTTCTTTTTAACTTAACTTATGGAAGTATAATTTGCACACAATTAAATGCATGCATTTTACATGTATAGTTAGATAAATTCTGACATATATATACTCATATAAGCATCAACAAAATCAAGATATTGAGTACTTCTATTATTCCAAGATAGTTTTCCTATGCTCTTTTTCAGCAAGTTTATTCAATTTGTTCTGTTCTCTCTTTCAAACACACTGGTTATCTCAGGTTTGGATACCTGTTTTTTTCCCTCATTATATTATCTTGTCTAATCCAGTCATAGTTCTGTCCTTTCACATTGCATTCTATGTGATTTTCCTAAACCTGCCATTCAGACCTTTGATTTGGTTTACTCCAGTGTTTATTCTCCTCTTTGCTACTTTAATATAATTTTAGGTTGTGTATTATCTTAAAAATATTTTTAGCTCTGACAGCACCATTTCATTTTTGGCAATTATCTTTTATATCTTTGAATCTTGTTTCACAGAATCCTCATTTTCTTTAATCTCTTGAGCATATGAAACAATTATTGTCTAAATTTCTTCCTGTTTCACAGGGTACAATTTCCATCAGAATGTGACCATTAGCTATCTTTTAAAGTATCTCCTTTATTTGCTACAAGATATTTAAAAAGCCCCATGTTCTTGTTTTTCCATCTACTCACCTTTGAATCAGGACACTTAAATCCAGGCTTGAGACTAGTCCAAAAATAATAGAGGAAAATCTTTGGACACTCTCCCTGTTTATCTAGATACTGTTAAATTCTCCCCTTAGAAATTAATAGGCAAATCCAGATGTTACCTTATGTTATGAGTTCAGGCATTCAGCTGCCTGAACAAGCTGGTGAGGGAGCTGGAGCCCTGAAACATTATGGGGAAATTTGTTTCTGTGCACTATATGTTCTGTGAAACCTCTTCATGACTCTAATGAGGTGGTGATGGTGGTGGGTACTCTGTCCATCTATGTGTGAAGTGCCACATGGGTTAGAGTCCTCTCTCTTGGGATAAGCAAGTTTGAGGAGGCATTTAGTCAAAGAAAGGCCTCATAGCTCTTGGGCTGTTTGATGGAGTCATATATTTTTTCTTTACACAGTTGCCCTTGTGGCTCTTATTCATACTTGGAAAGATGATTCCTAGGAAATTATATCTTGTCTGTTCTGTTGTCAACCCTCCTTTCAAGACCTAGCTCTTCTAAGTTAGGAGGTTTTCCCCCTAACTGAGTACATCCGAAGCAATATTGGGAAGCCTAAGAAAGAAAGGGCTAGGTATGATCATTACATTTCTCTCAAAACACTGCTAATACAGATTTGGACTGCTGTTGACTTGCAAAGAGGAAAGGGATCCCAAAGGGGAGGTTTTACATCTTTCTGTGATACATCACTAATAACAATCCCCTTTTCTTTGAGTGTGTGGTGGGGTGGGAGGGTGAGGAGGTAGTGGTTAATAGAAGTATTTTCAGAATATCTTCTACTGGCTTTTTAAATACTCTTCCTTTCTTTTAGGAAATGGAATTGTGAATCAACTTCTGGAATCTTCTTTCAAACTATTTCATTTTGTAATAGGTAGCAGATTTTCTTTGAGTTTAGGATAAAATGTCTTAGTTTCAATTTAATGAATTTTTCTTCTTTTTGTTATTCACTTTGGCCAGGATAAATTTGTATTTTTGTTGCCAAACTTCCCAGAAGTCTTAATTTGGGACTTTGATAAAAGAACTATAATGCTTCTTCGGTAGAGAGACTCAAGAAATTTTATAAAGGGAAATTTGCTTTGCTGAATGAGTAGAACAGCCTGCTATTAGGAACCACTGCAGAGGAAAATAATGTGATTAAAAGAGTTCTTGTCCATTTTCCCCCTTTTATACTAATAGAACTCTGATTTTATTCATCTTTCTCCAAACAACTATGTCTTTCATGGGAGGCTGGGCTCCTTCCTAACTCAAGGAAGTGAATCTTTAAATGATCTCAGCCTGTGCTTTTCAAAATGTGAGCTATAACACATCAATTTAGACACAAACTTAATTTAGCATCTTTTTTTTTTTTAAGATTTTATTTATTTATTTGAGAGAGAGAGAATGAGAGAGCACATGAGAGGGGGGAGGGTCAGAGGGAGAAGCAGGCTCCCCGCCGAGGAGGGAGCCCGATGTGGGACTCGATCCTGGGACTCCAGGATCATGACCTGAGCCGAAGGCAGTCGCTTAACCAACTGAGCCACCCAGGCGCCCTAATTTAGCATCTTTTGACCAACATTTTAAAAAGTGAAATAGAATACAGTGTATTACATGTGTCCTTAGTAATAATTGTACAAAACACTAAAACACTACAATCAAGTTCAGCTAACAGAAAAAGACAATTAGGACACATGAAGCTGAATCTTCTGCTTTCTCTATATATCATATACTATATATGACTATATATAATATATAACATTTATATATTATATTATTAATTATTAATATATTACTCTATATTATTGTATATCTTATATGTATCATGTTAAAAGTTGGAAAAACTTATCTAAGCTGATAATGATTTATTGGTTGAGATAAGGGTGCATTAAGCTATTCTAGCCAAGGAGACAGCAGGGGAGGTCTGCTGGAGTGCTTGGGGGGCATTTTCCTATTGCATTGCTCAATACTTGCATTCCAACAATACAATATTATTTATAAATAATAATAGTGACAAGTGTCACTCTTGCCATGCCATAGACTATCATTAATTATGAAATTGGTTATTGGTCTTATATGTTGTTACTCATACAAGTTATCTTGAATAGTAGGCACCAAACTGTAAGGTAGGGCTAGGAGGACAGACTACTTTTTAAAGAAACTTGAGGAACAATGGAGGGTCTGGATATATCTCATCGAGCCCCTGAATTAACCAAGCCTGGAGCTGCCTTACTGATAGACTTCTTGTTATTTGAGATTATAGATATCTTTGGGGCACCTGGGTAGCTCAGTCGTTTAAGCATCTGCCTTTGGCTCCGGTCATGATCCCAGGGTCCTGAGATCAAGCCCCACATCAGGCTCCCTGCTCAGTGGGGAGTCTGCTTCTCCCTCTCCCACTCCCCCTGCTTGTTCTTTCTTTCCCTCTCTCTGTCAAATAAATAAATAAAATATTTAAAATTAATTAATTAATAATAAATAAATATCTTTGTTGTTTGAGCCATATATAGTCAGATTTTATTTTAAATACAGCTGTAAATGTCCCAAATATTCAAGATGAATAAGCATCTATCAGGTGGAGAAGTATGTCCTGAGCATAGAGACCAGAATGGATCAAGTTACACAACAGTTGGAACAGATTGTGACTAGAATCAGTAAGGATAAAGAGACAGAATAGAAGACTGAAAAAATCTTATATACCATACTAAGGAATCTAGATTTTACCATTTTTGTAATAGAGATTATTCAGATGTTATTAAGTAGAGAAATAATGTGGTGATATGATCAGATGCTGATATTCTTTGATTAAAGATTTTCTTAAAGCTTGTATCTTAAAGTTAGATACAGTTAATTTTCAGCTATTTCAGTATAAAAACGCAAAATATATACCTGCAAATAAAGTAGAGTCTTTTTCCTTCCTGTAAGCATTGGATTGAATCCTGGATGCAGGAGAAATGATGGTAGGACCCAGTGTTCTTCTACATGGTTGTGTATTCTGTGGATATAAATATAAATCATGCAAAGGGTTAGCATTCTTCACCTGAACATCAGGAAAAATGGAAAACTATCTTAGAAATTATTCCTTTCCAGGTATATTGATAAATAATTTAAATTTGATTATTCATATTTGGCATATCTAATTATGATAACTAACAGCTGTCTAGTTCTTTAAATACTTCTAAATATAATGTTTACTTAATCCTCAAAAAACCCCCTATGATATGGATGTTAATAACACTTTATAGAGAAGGAAACAAATCTACAGAAATTAAAAATTTGGACTATGTTCACACTTTTTGCTAACTTTTATTTTCTTTGTCTCCATTATATTCATATATAAAATTTATTTCTCCAAATGCAGGGAAAGTCTAAAGTTCAAATACTGAGCCAAAAAAAAAGCCCTCTTAGTTTACACAGAAACTTTACTCATACATAGATACAGCAGAATACCTCTGAGTAAAAGGGGAGAACTGGAAAAAGTGATCTAGCTTTTCCTAGATTGGCTCAGATTGGCTCTAATGTAGAAGGAGACTTTGGTGAATCTACTCTATCCCTACAAAGATTATTGATGTTTTTATTTTAACAATGAACTTGATCAGGTTCAAAATACACTCTGTCGCTGGAGCAACAGCTCAAATTTCAGTTCAGTTGTTGTATCCTTAGCTGGGCTCCTTGCAGTCTCCCTAAACATGCATGGTTCAGGGGTTAGTGAGAGACTTGGATAGGGGCTACCATCTTTGGCTCTCTTCTATTTGTCCCTCCTCAATTTCTAGAAGCTTGGGTTGCCCTGAACATTGCTCTCTGATTCTTTTGGCTAGAAAAATACATAAGTTTTCTGTTGGAGTTTTAGATGCCCCATGCAGTGCCAACTTCATCCACCCTTCAAGCTAAAAGCCATAAAAATAGCAACTTTGCTCAATGCAAGTCAGTTATTACAAGTTTCTATGCCTTTTCTTTGTCACCTTCTTTTGTTTACTCTCTAGGGTCTTCAGGTAATTTGTGTGTGTGTGTTCTGAATATCTTGTATAGAGTTTATAGTCATTGAGACAGTGTGGTATAATAGGAGCTTACTCAGCCATACTGCATCAGAATTCTCCAGAACTTTTACTATTTCCATTATCTTTTCCTATTGCATTGCTCAATACTTGCATTGCAACAATACAATATTATTTATAAATAATAATAGTGATAAGTGTCACTCTTGCCATGCCATAGACTATCATTAATTATGAAATTGGTTATTGGTTTTATATATAAGGTATAATTTTTTAAATTATGCTGATATTCTTTATCATATTAAACAAGTATTTTCTGTAGTTTTATCAATGATGGTTATTGGATTTATCAATTGTATTTTAAATCTTGCAGCTATTAAAATAATTTTCCGATGAAACTCCAGGCTTAGAGTTGGCAGATATTTAGGGTGAGAATGAAAACAAAAGTTGTAAAGAGGCAGGTTAACTGAAATTCTATGGAATTTCTGAATCAGTTGTCACTTCCCCCATTTCCCACTTACCCTAGCCCACATACAAAGTTACAGGAAATTTTATTTAATTAATCCCAGGATAAAATAAGTGCTCTTCTTCTGATAAACTTACTGCTAATGTGAGTTTGGTTTCCAGAGTGAAACTCTCTTCATGTTAGCATCCGAAAGACAGACTACCAGTCAAATAAACCTGCTCTCTGCCCTCTTACGCTAAAGTAAAGCTAGCTGGTTGAGAATTCTGATGTATACACAGAAGAGTTGGCTCTCAATTCTAGAGAGATACTTATTTATAAAATTAATGGCAGTTTCATAGAAAGATTAACCCATATCTTCATTCTTAAATATGAACAAATGAAGATTTATCAGATGTAATAAAAATCAATAACTTCAAAAATATCTATCATGATAAACAAAAGGAACACTGACACCAGAAAAGAAATAATTCAAGAAACAGAAAATAACTTAAGAAAATGAACTCTAATATCTTCAGAAAATGCTGAGAACAAATATAACAGGAGGCTATGAAAAGAAAAAAACAACTAAGAACAAGAAAGAAATTTAAAATGTCATTACCGAACCAAAATGAAGTAAAAAGACCAGAATAAAGGACAAATTTTCAGAGACAAAAAAAAATAGAGAATAGCAATATAGAGGATTAGTTGAAGAAATCTATATCTGACCATTAGAGAACAGAAAATAGTGGAAAGGACATTGGAAAAGAAATAAAAGACATTTTTTAAAACCTAAAGAAAGATATTTGACTTTACGGTGGAGTCTATTGAACACTGAACAGGATGAATTGAAGTAAAATTACCATATTCATACATATCCTCAAAACATCACAAAACAACATTAATAAAGAGGAGATCCTAGAAGTTTCCAGAGAAAAAGGTAAGATCACTTACAGAAGACTGAGAACTTTTCATTAGTACCATTGAATGGCATAGGACAATGGAGCAATGTCATCAAAGTTTAGGGAGAAAAATGATTTTAAAGATATAATGCTACTCAGCTCAACTATCATTCATATACATGGGAAAAATAAATACATGCCATTTCTAGGGAAGTTTCTTGAAGACATATTCTAGGAAAATAAAGATGAAATCCAAGAAGTAAGACATGGAGTATTAGAATCTGGCAACTAACCCAGGAATGGAATGACTCTGACAACTGCAGAGCAGGCTTAAAAGTAATGGGTCAAATTTAGAACAAAAAGTCACTGAGCTCCAATGAACAATTCCTCCAAGAAGACTGGAATGGATTCTACTCAATAGAGAACCAATAAGGAAGCTTGACCATATCCACATATAATGAGAAAGTTACATGCTTCTTTTTCAGAGGTTGCGTATCTTAGAGGTAAAAGAGCATGTATCAGACTGTTAGGTTTTTCCTAACTCTGTTATTTTTAATTTGATCTCAGCCAAATTACTGATCTTCTTTGTACCTCTTTTTTCTCATCTATAAAATAGGAATAAAAATAGTACTTACTTCATTGAGTTGTTGGGGATGTAAATTATAGACACACACATAAATACACACATACATATATATATGCATTTATATACTATAGAAGTACTATAAGTACTATATAGATGTTTGCTATTATTATTCTCCACAAGAAAAAAAGGAAGGCAACTAGAATATTCAGAAAAAAATTCAAAAGTGTACAGGAAAGTCAAGGTCTCAATATGAGGCAGACTAACATATAGCATTACTTTTTGAGTAACTGATGGAGAATAAGAAAAGGGAGCCTTTGTTTTTACATTTTAGCCATTGAGAAGAACTGTAATCCTAGCACATTATTTTGTTCTACTCTGATGGTTATTTACAATGTCATAGTAACATAGATATTATTTATAGTTTTGAGTTTTAGAATTAAGCTATAGACAAAACACGAAGGCTTAATCAGAGTTGCAAAGTTGAATATAATCATTGACCTCAATAATGTAAAAGTAAAGACATACTTGACTTGGGGAAGAAGATGTGGAGGAGAGTAGGAGAAAAGAATAGGACTGCTAAAATCGTCATCTTATTTAAAGGGGAATCAGGAGTTAGTGATTAAAGTTGATACAAAAGAAAAAATTTTTAGATATTTTATTTATAGATACAAAAGTTAATAGAAAAAGCAAAAAGGTAACTATCAAAGATTCAGAAGAAAAAACGGAGAGAAGTGAAATGTAGAGCAGTGTAAATAAGCTATTTCAAGTATGTCTTACTGATTATTCAGTAGATAATATTTAAAGTAGATAAATAAAAAATAGTTGTAGAAGCTCATTCTTTAAAATTATAAGGTGAATCATAAGAGAAATTAAAACCCCCCTAAAAGTTAAACGTGGTTACCTTTGAAAAGGGGAAATTAGAACAAAAAGTATGGGATGCAAGTGCTTTGTGTTCTTATTAGCTTTTCTGTATTATTTAATTTTTTAAATTCATATGAATATTTCAATTTATTTTTAAAAATTAAAATGTTGCATGTTTTCTAAAAGATGCTAATAAATTTAGTATTATGAGTAAACTTGTGATGTTACAATATATATTTCTTGGAAGATTTTTATTAAAAATGAACCTAAACAAAACATGTAGTTGAGGATAAAATAGTCCAGACAGTGGATGCTGTAAATCTTCTTAAAAATTATAAAAGGCAGCAATCTGCAACAAAAATTATAATGTCCTTAATTATGGTCCAAAGTATGTATTTCTTTATGTTTCACTCTCCATGTTAGCAATAATCAGGGTTAATAATAAATAAATTAATACCTAAGAAACTCTTAAATGACTTTCCCTTGCTGATTCTCTGGATAACTTCTCTTTGTAGATAAAACTTAATGAATAATATCCAAGGCATGCTCAATGCTCAAGGTTAGCCAACTACTTTCCAGGATGCCCATGAACTTCTGCTCAAATGGTTATCAAGAGTCAATACTATGGTCAAATCACTATGTTGTACAGCTAAAGCTAATGTAACATTGTGTATTACACTTCAATACATCAATTATACTTCAATAAAAAAAAAAGAGTCTGTATTGTTGGTCCCAAACCTGTTTATGGTAATTGTTAAATGTAATTATATAATTTAAATAACCATAGCATGCTCAAAAAAAATGGTCTTGGCTACACATGAAAAGATTACAAATGGATGCATATTTTCATATTTTAAATTAAAATTAAATATTTAAGTTATGCATGTAGAGTTTTTTATGATGTCCTGTTTTAACTGACTTTATGGTAACTGTTATGCCTTATCATATTTGATAAATAATTTCTGCTGTATGGACCGTCAAGCAAATAATATATTATTTTCTGTATTATCCCTGTACATAAAGTTTTAGTAATATCAAAGATGAAATCACTTTAAAATTTTACATTTTTGAATCCTAAAATACATTTGAATTTGGGACTTACAGAAGTATACATAAAATTGTCGGCGCTAATCTGAATTTCTACCAAGTAATTGTTAAATGGACAAATTAAACCTACCTCAGCTGTATCCTTAAGATAAAGAAAAGGTCTAAAAGATCTTGATTTCAGATTTTCTTTCAAGGGCTCTAAAGAAACAAATCCAAACATAAATGATATTTCCATACTATTAGACTACTTCTAATCTATCAATAAACCATTTTCTCTACTTCTAGTAAACTTTTTGGAAATGTAATTTGATAAACTTAGGTGCTTACGAATGCATTACATGTGTATTTTCAGAGCTAAATATATTCTAATTTGCTTTAAAAGTGAGTTTCTATTAACAGAATACAACTTGTGATTATTATTTCTGGCTACTTATCAGAAATTATGGGGGGGTCAGAACTATGACCTCAGAACACGCAACAAAGTGGTATCTTCAGGAAAAAAATGGATTTCTAAATAAAATGGAATCACAATAATTTCATTCATTATTCCTTTGAAGAGAGAAATATTCCCCTCAACCTGAATCCACCCCCAAACTCTAATTATTTATTAATCTGGATTACCCTCTAATGGATTTTCTTAAGGTAGGTATGGTGTCAGGTCAAGCATAGACTTTGGATTTAGATAGCCTGGGACCAAAATCTATGTTTTTTCTGTAAGTCCTGTAGCCTTAGTTTAAGTTATTTAACTTCTGTGAGCCTTAGTTTTCTCATCAGTTAAGGGGAAATAATGGCGCTTACCTCAGAGGAATGCTGTGAGGATTAAATGAGATAATAGATTTAAAAACTTAATAGTATCTGGCATTCATTCAATCAACAATTTTTTATTGATCACCTATTATATGCCAAGCACTGGTGTTGGACTCTGTAATTCTGATTCCTGCCCAATGATGCATACATTTTAATGGGTAATAGACAAAATAAACAAGTAAGACAAAGGAGTGAATAATTACAAATTAAGATACATGCTATGATAGAAATAAATAGATTTTGGTGAGGAAGAACAACAGAGGGAGGTATAATTTAGATAGGGTAGTTGCTGTGGACTGAATGTGTTCCTCCCAAAATTTATATGTTGAAGCTCTAATCCTCAGTGTGATGGTATTTGGAGGTGAGGCCTTTGGGAGGTAATGAGGTTAGATGAGGTAATGTGAGTGAAGTCCCTGTGATGGGATTAATGCCCTTCCAAGAAAAGACATGAAAGAGATAATCTCTCTCTCCACCATGTAAGGATACAGGCAAGAAAACAGCTGTCTGCAAACCAGGTAGAGCACTCTAGCCAGAACCTAACCATACTGGCACCCTGATCTCAATCTTCCAGCCTCCAGAATTGTGAAAAATAAATATTTGTGGTTTAAACCACCCAATCTATAGTAATTTGTTAGAGCAGCCCAAACTGACTAAGAGAGAAATTGGCACTGAGAAATGGGGTGCTGCTGTAACAAAAAAATAGGGAAGTGGCTTTGGAACTGGGTAATGAGTAGAAGCTGGAAGAGTTTTGAGGTACATAGTAGAAAAGCCCAGTATTTCCATGAAGGGATTTTAAAGGGGATTCTGATGAGAATTCTCTAAGATTTTTCCATCTTCTTAGAGAATACATAATCATGTACAGAAATGTTGATAGACATATGGATGGTAAAAGCTATTCTGATGAGGTCTCATAGGAATTAGAAAAATATTGTTAAACAATGGAGAAAAGGCTTTCCTCATTATAAAGGGACAAAGAACTTGGCTGAATTATGTTTGCATTCTAGTGTTTTGTGAAAGGTAGAACTTAGGAGTGGTGAAACTGGATATTTAGCTGAAATTTCTTAGCAAAGAATTTTGCATCAGGAGGAATCATACCTTGAGTCTCACCAATGTCTGATTAAGATAGTATTCAGATAAGACTCTGGATTTTAACAATAACCTACAAAGTCAGATGTCAGTAAAATAATTGAAGTGTTATAAGATCCTTTTATTGTCCAGAATGAGGGTAATACTAGATTTTAAAAGGCTGCATAGGGTAATCATTTACTATATGCTGGCTAACTGAACATAATTTAAAAATAATAATAATCGGGATGCCTGGGTGGTTCAGTCAGTTGGGCAACTGCCTTCGGTTCAGGTCATGATCCCAGGATCCTGGGATCGAGTCCTGCATTGGGCTCCACGCTCAGTGGGGAGCCTGCTTCTCCCTCTGCCTTCTGATCCCCCTGCTTGTACTCTCTCTCTCTCCAACAAATAAATAAAATCTTTTAAAAAAATAAAAATAAATAAATAAATAAAAATTAAAAAATAATAAAATTTTAAAAATTTAAAAAAGAATAGAAACAGAGTATATAACTCCCAAATTAATAAAGGGGAAAAGTGAAACTTAAGAAATTCAATCCTAGAGAAAACATGAGAAGATAGGGAAAAAAGTATAGAATTAAAAGGGCAAATAAAGAACAAAATAAGATGGTAAAATTAAATCTAAAGTAATTACATTAATTACATTAAGTAATTACATTACTGTAATTACATTAAGTATAAATGGACTAAGTGTTCCATTTCATTTCAAAGACAAAGATTACCACAGTAGATTTTTAAATTTAATATTATGATATTTACAAGAAATAAATCTAGATTACAATGTTATAAGAAGATAATAAAATGATGGAAAAAGATATACCATGTAATGGTAGCCAAAAGAAAGCTGGCAACTACAGTAATATTGGATAGTAAGACAAATCGCTTTACAATGAAAAAGGGTTCAATTCACTAGAAACATAATAATTTTAAATTTTATGTAATTGATAACATTGCCTAAACTATATGAAAAATGTATAAAGCAAAATTTGACGCTACAAGGAAAAATACAAGTCTGAAATTTCTCACTAACTGACAGAGGAGCAAACAGAAAAATCAATAAGGATATGAAAAAGTTGAAAAATATAGGGAACAAATTTGACCTAAAAGACATATACAGAACAGTGTAGTCAACTACTGTAGGATATACATTATTTTCAAGCACATACAGAGCATTTACAACAATTAACCATATATTGAGTGATAACACACATTAACTAATTACAGAGGACTGATACCATATGGAGTGTATCCTCAAACAACCATGTAATTGTGCTAAAAAGCTATAGTCAAAAGATAATTAGAAAAGCTGCAAATAGGGATGCCTAGATGGCTCAGTCAGTTAAGTGCCTGCCTTCAGCTCAGGTCATGATCCAAGGATCCTGGGATCGAGTCCCCCATCAGGCTCCCTGCTCAGCGGGAAGCCTGCTTCTCCCTCTGCCTGCTGCTCTCCCTGCTTGTGCTTGCTCTCTCTGACAAATAAATAAAATCTTTAAAAAAAGAAAAGAAAAGAAAAGAAAAGAAAAACCTCAAATATTTTGAGTGGAGACATATACTTCTAAATAACCAAAGGGTCAGAGAAAAAAAACATAGTGGAAAATAGAAAATATCCATGATATTCTTGGAGAACAAAGTTGGAAGACTTGCTCTACCAGATTCAATGGTTATTTTAAGCTACATAAATTAATGTGGTATGGTATTTATGATAAATAGACAAATAATGAAATAGAATAAGATCCCCAGAGCAAAGAGCCCAGAGCATTAGGGAAAGAATAGCCTTTTAAAGTACATGCTGAGATAACTATATCCACATGAAAAAATTAAATTTGACCCTTGCCTCACTCAAAATTTAATTACAGGTAGACTTCAGGCCTAAATGTAAAAAGAAGAACTGAGGTCTTTTATAAAATAAATAGAAGGTCTTCATGACCACAAAGTAGGGAAACATTTCTTAAATATGGAACAAAAAGAAGTAACCAAATGGAGAAAGATTTGGTATATTTGACTTTATTAAAGCCAAAGAATTTCTGTTCATCAAAAAGACACCATAGAGTGAAAAAAAGAAGGAAAAAAAAAAAGAGAGAGAAAAGGGAAGATACTCACGATACATAAAACCAACAAAAAACTAGTGACCAAAATATATAAAGAAATCAATGAGAAAAAGACAAAAACCTATTTTTAAAATGATCTAAGGGGCATGTGGGTGGCTCAGTCACTTAAGCATCTGACTCTGGGTCTGGTCATGATCTGAGGATCCTGGGATCGAGTTCCACATCAAGCCCCGCTTTGGGCTCTGCACTCAGTGGGGAGTCTGCTTCTCTCTCTCCCTCTGCCCCTCCCCCCCCATGTTCTCTCTCTCTCTCAAATAAATAAATAAAATCTTTAAAATAAAATAAAATGAGCTAAAGCTCAGATAATTTCCAAAAGTGTAAGTTTAATTGATCAATAGTCTTACGAAAAAGTTCTCAAACTTAATGGTAATCATGGAAATGCAAATTAAAACATAATCATATATTATTATGTACACTAAAATAAAAATCAGGCAATTCTGAATGTTACCAAGAAAGCAGAACAAAAAGAACTCTCACAAATCTGATGGGAGCACAAATTGGTACAAATACTTTGGAAAGTTTGCCAGTATTTATTAGAGTTGAAGATAAGTATATTTGGCAATATAAATCCTGGATATGTACTTTCAAGCAACTTATACGTATGCAGTAGGATGCATAAACAAGAATGTTCATTCAGCATTGTAATGGCTGACAAACCAAAAACCCAAAATTTCAACAGTAGAATAGATAAATTGTGATATACAGTTGATCCTTGAACAACATAGGTTTGAACTACATGAGTCCATTTACACATAGATTTTTTTGATACAGTACAGTACTGTAAATGTATTTTCTCTTCCTTATGATTTTCTTAATATTTTTTCTTTAGTTTGTTTTATTACAAGAATATAGCATATAATACATATGTAAAATATATGTTTATGTTATTGGAAAGGCTTCTGGTCAACAGTAGGCTATTAAGTTTTGGGGGAATCAAAAGTTATTTGTGGATTTTTGACTGTGCAGTGGAGTCAGTGCTCCTAACCCCCATGTTGTTCAAGGGTCAACTGTATACTATTTTAATGATGGAGAAGATAAATTAAGAGGAGAGACTGAAGAGTGATACAGCAGGAAAACAAGAGATATGGGTTCCAAAATCCCAAAGAGGAGAGTTTTAAGAAGGAGGGAGTGATCAACCAACTATATTCGTATTGAGAAGTGGAAGAAAATGAAACCAGAGAAATATTATTTGTACTTAGCAATGGAGATCATTGGTACTCTTGATCAGAGTAGCTTCAGTAGAATGGTGGAGGCAGAAACCAGACTGGAGTTGTCTGAAGTTTGAACAAAATTTGAGGAAGTAGAGAGAGTGTATGTAAACAAGTCCTTTGAGAATTTAGATGATGAAGTGTTTCAGAGAAATGAGGCAATATGGGGTAATGTGGAGTCAAGGAGCCTCAGTTAAAGGGGTCAATGAGAATGATTCAGTCGAATGGTTCTTTGATAATCCCAGATAAAGAAATGTAAAGGCAACACAAAACTCTAAAATTCTCTGAAGATCTGCAGTGCTAGTTCCTAGCTTACAGATTCCTTAAGTTTCAAAGAAAGTTCCTTTACAGTTTCTATAAAGTAAGTTTTTATTAAGCAAGATGTCCATACTTAATTGATTTCTTTTTTTAACAGTAACAAGAAAACTCTTAGGGTTGACCTGAAAGGAAACTCAGATATCTTCTTTCTAGAAAAATAAACATAAAAATATATTCTTAATTTGTGACTTGTATAAATTGTCCATTCTGATATTCTCTTAGGAAATTCTTCTTTCTGGCTCACTGAAATCTTTCACACTGCAGTTATAAGCCCTATACTTTCAAGCAATTTCTTTCAACAGAGACATCAAATCATAAAGAACTTTTAAGATACACATTAATAAATAATAAAGTATATAATAAAAGCACTCATTAATACATTAAAGGAGAAGTAAATATGTTACACAGAGCATTACCTATTAACTTGCTTTCTTGATTTTTTATATTTGTTGGTACAAAGTGTGGTCTTAAATTGAACTTTTCAAAATCACTCTCTCTAGGTTCAGGTTCATCTTTGAAGAAGACATATCTAGGAAAAATAAAATTAATCTAAATTAGAATATTCAGAGGGTGCCTGGGTGGCTCAGATGGTTAAGGTCTGCCTTCGGCTCAGGTCATGATCCCAGGGTCCTGGGATCGAGTCCCACATCGGGCTCCCTGCTCAGCGGGGAGCCTGCTTGTCCCTCATCCTCTTTCTCTCTCTCTCTCTGTCTCTTATGAATAAATAAATAAAATCTTTAAAAAGAAAAAGAATATTCAGAAAAATCTATGAAACTAATCTAAAAAATAAATTTGGAGAAATGTGGTTAAGTCCCAGTTATATAGATTAGATGTTGTATTAATAATATTACAATACAAAATGTAAAAGGATGGGACTAAGCCAGAGCTGAAAATATTAGTGATAATCACTTGAAGTAAAGACAGATAGGAAGCTGCTATTGTCATAGGATGGAGGGCACTCTAGGAAACTATAGTTCATAAGCTGATTAACCCTTTAAAAATATGCTGGAAATTCATTAAATGAGCTACTGGGAACATTGTCAGATCTGAGTTAAGTCATGGAACACAGAGTTATGGTCAGTTCAGATACCAAAATAGTAGACCAGATAGGATAATAGTGTTTATTTATTATAAAGGAAATTTTCTCCACTAAATCCTTTAACTGACTATTGATGGTATGTAATACAGTTAATGAAGTAATAAATAATAAATAATAATAAAGTATTACATAATTCATATTTCTGACCACTAAATGCTGGAATAACCCATGATTCAGTCATCCAACCTCAGACATTCACCTTCAGTTGATATCTAATCTCACATCTTTACATATTATCTATAGACTGATGTCTCCCAGGTTTATAATTATAATTTATAATTTATAATCTCTCAAACTCTTCCCTGAGCTCCAGATTTATATATCCAACTGCTACATGACTTCTGCAGTTAGGTATATTGTAGGCATCTCAAACTTAACACATTCAAAACCAAATCCTTTTGCTTCCTTCCCAATCTGTTCCTCTTTGAGGCTCCCCCAGCTCCATTCAACCAGAGGCTTAGGCCAAAAACTTGACAATATCTTTGATTTCTCATTCCCCATTCCCAACTGTTGCCCAATCTCACCAGATCTTTCTTTGAAACACATCCCAAATCCAGCTACTTCTTTCCTTGTGACTTCTACCCTAGTCCAAGACACCTTCATCTCCCATCTGAGTTACTTCCATGGGTTTCTCGCCTTCTGTTTCTCTCTGCTATTACTCATCCCCTACAGTCTATTGCCAGTGCAACCATGGTGGCACCCATAAAATATAAATGTGATTGGCATTTCCCTCCAATTGTTTCCTACTAGACTCAACTAAGGTTCAAAATTCTCACTCCAAGACAGAAACTGTCTCCCCATTGCTCATGTTTCTAAGTAGAGGAATTTCCATTGAATGCCCCTCCAGGGCTCTCTCTGTGCATCAAACCCCCACCTCCACGTGGAAGCAGTGAATTTTCCAGCTCTTTGGTTTAACGAGAAAGGAACTTGAGCTCCCACTTAAGGACTTTGGCATTTGCTCTTCCCTCTGTCTATAATATTCTTTCCCCGGCTAGTGCCAAGGGTTACTTCCTTAAGTTATAAGAGAGAATTTTGTTAAGACTCTACTCAAATTTCCATCTCTCCAGAAAGGTCTTTTCTGTCCCCTTCTCTATCTAAAATAGTAATCACTATCAATCTTAATTCCTTTAATTTACTATATTTTTCTTCATAGTATTTATCACTAGTGGATTTATATTATATATTCATTTGTTCATTTAGTTTAATATCTGTCTCCCCACCTTATCCTAAAACATAAATTGAGGGCAGAGTTTGTTTTGTTCACTGTTGAATACCCAGCACCTAGAACAGTGACTGGCACATAGTACATGTGTAATAAATGTGCTGAGTGCACAAATTGTTCTGGTAAATTTTTATTAAACTTTCTTATCATCTTATAATTTCCAATGAGATTTTAGTTTATTCTCTTCGGGTTTTTCAGTAAACAATCATTTAATCTTCATAACATAATTTATCTGTTCTTATCCAAACATTTATATTTTTGTCTTATGTTCTTATTTAATCACTGGCAAGCACTTCTAGAATAGTGCAGTATAGTGAGAATGGGCATCCTTCTGCTTCTAATTTAAATGGGAATGTGTCACGTGTTCCAACCTAAGGATGATGTTGGCTATATAGTCTTGTTAAGGAGATCATTTTTTTAGCCTTATCTTATTAAGTCATTTTTCAAATACATTTGCAGAATATATAGAGGTGTTTGGATATGAATTTCCTTATGGTGAACTAAAGAGCGTGGACTTTGGATTTGGATCTTACTTTGCATCTTGACTCTATGTGAACTTCTCCAGAATATTGATATCCTCTGAATCTCAGTCTTTCACAGGCCAAATGCAGGTAATAGCTACCTTATAGGGTTAGTATAAGAATTTTGTAAAATAAGGTTTAGAAAGTGCTCAGCAAATATTTGTGACATAGTAAGAGGTCAATGTCAAGTACTTTTTATTATTCCTGAAATTTACTCCACTTAGTTATAGTAGAGTAATATTTATTTAATATAGTGTTAGATTCTACTTTGTTAATACAGTAAGTTATTGAAAGGCACTTAGCCTGGTATTTTAGAGTGATGACCAGATGATTTTTTAGCCACGGCTGAGTAAAAAGGAAAAATAAACAGTCTGTATTCTACAAAGGCCCACCAATATTTGGAGTTAGACATTCCCTTCTTCTCCCAAGTAGCAGAAAACTGTAATGGGATAGGTGGGCATATCAGAATTATGTCATTGACCTCATAGAATCAGCTGTGACTTTTCCTTCTCTTTTCAGTGTCGAAGGGAGCAGGGATGCTTAGGGTTTCCTAAGGAATCACTTATAAAGCCTTGGCATTTGCTCTTCCCTCTGTCTGTAATATTCTGCCATCTCATTCCTCAGCTGCACACCCGATAGCACACTTGCTGATTTGCCCTATGTCTAGCTATATAAAAACAAATTTGGAGGGTAGAGTGGGGAGGAGAAATCAGAGTACACTGCCTCCCATTGTTTGGTATGGCAAGGATGCTTGAGTTTCTGAGGGGGAAAATGTACATTGTGGTTGTTACTGGGCTTAGGCCATTTTACTGGTTCCCCACTCAGATTGCTGACTGCCAACCTAGTGATCCTTAGCAAAAGAGGTTGTGATATATACAGGAGAGTGTAAGAGTTGAGGGTGAATTTGAAGAGGTGTGGCTGAAGGAGGCTCTCCTTCATTAGCGAACTGGTCTTTCTGAGGCACTGTTACCATGCATCGTTAAAGAGTTAGGCTCTTTTTTGTCTTCTCCTTCGTCTTGCAACTGTAAGGATTGCAATTTCTTGAGGGCAAGCACTATGTCAAATATAGAAATTCTGAGGCTCCTCTTCCCTTGGGACAAACACCACCTCTCATGCCAACACCAAATGCCTAACACTTACTACATAAGCACACAGGAAAAGCTTTTCTTCTTTTTCAATTGAGATATATTTGATCTACATTGTATTTGTTTTATGTGTACAACATAATTATTTGATATATGTATATATTGTGAAATAATCACCACAATAAGTCTCGTTAATATTCATTACCATATTACATAGTTACAAACTTTTCTTTCTTATGATGAGAACTTTTAAGATCTACTCCCTTAGCAACTTTCAAATATGCGATGCAATATTGTTGACTATAGTCACCATGCTGTACATTACATCCTCAGGACTTATTTATCTTATAAACTGGAAGTTTCTATCTTATGACCATCTTCACCCATTTCACTAGGAAGGCTCTTTTTGTTTTTGTTTTGTTTTGTTTTGTTTCCTTAAGATTTTTTTTATTTATTTGCGAGAGAGACAATGAGAGACAGAGAGCATGAGAGGGAGGAGGGTCAGACGGAGAAGCAGACTCCCTGCTGAGCAGGGAGCCCGATGTGGGACTCGATCCCGGGACTCCAGGATCATGACCTGAGCCGAAGACAGTCGCTTAACCAACTGAGCCACCCAGGTGCCCCCATAGGAAGGCTCTTTTTGACTAGAGTTGGCTGGAAGATGACAAATGAGAAAGAAGATGGTAGCAGTAGCTAGGTAAGTAAGAAGCACTGTCCTTTCCTTCTCCCTCCTCTCTTACTCCCATACAGGGGTGGGGGTGGGGGGTGTGGTGCTGGTAAATATTTAATAACCTTTTGTCCAAGTGTAGTTCCAACATGAATGTTGATTGACATTTTCATTTACCTTAATGAATAACATGAAAGTGAAACAATAAAGACATATGTTGGAACTTCACTCATTCATCAATGACATAAGCTACTTTTTTTTGCTGAGCCAGACAATAATTTTTGAATTCTAAAATATATCCTCAATTTTGTGTGCTATTCAGAGTATGATGGCTACTGGCAAGACAAACATTTAAGTTTAATCTTCATGAACATTTTTCTTCCCCACTTTCTTAAATCTAGACAAATAACAAATCAAGCCCCCTGTTTGTAGTGTTTGCCAATTTCTATGGTGTAAATACACCCATGGTTGATTTCAAGTGATTTCAGTGATGGGACATCACTGAATGAGGATTTGAAAAGAAATGTGTATTAACATGATATTATATAATAGTTCCACCATATGGATACAATAGATGTAAATGATTTCAATCACAGATGATAGTAAAAAATGGTAAAATAATTAGAAAGGGATGAGTTTTGAGTATTTGTTTTTATTATGTCATTGAATTTTTAGCTTACATAGTTTAATTTTTAATAATAACTTAACCATCTCATAAAATTCCTGAAAATTCAACAGTCAGTTCTAACAAATTGGTAGGAGCTGGCTCCAGCACAACACTTTTCCCATACCAGAAGCACAAAAGATTATAGGAAGGAAGAAGGGGATGTGTGCTAGGAAGACTACACCCACCTCCGATTCACTGGCCATACTCCTCTTCCACCTCAGCTCCCGCAGTGTCAATAGACTGGCTAGACAGGGGAAGGGGAAGCCTC